GGCCAGAGGGAGAAGCAGACTCCCTGCCGAGCAGGGAGCCCGATGCGGGACTCGATCCCGGGACTCCAGGATCATGACCTGAGCCGAAGGCAGTCGCTTAACCAACTGAGCCACCCAGGCGCCCTCCCAGGGCTTTTCTAAAGCCGGTGGGTGCGTTCCACCTCCTGCGCTCTCCAGCTGCGTCGCAAAGCCAGCAGGTGCATGCAGCCCACACAGAGGGCACCCATTGATCCCCTGGCCCTCATGGCCAGGGGGCGCTTGTGTTCCTGGGCTCCATGGGACTATAACAATTGCGAAGACAGTTCCTGGCAGCCTACAACCCCCAGCGCCCTGCACAGACAGTAGACTGAAGCACATCCCCAGTCTCCCTGCGAAAAAGGCCTATTTACTTGTCCTGGAGCTTTAGCCTGAGGGGCAGACTTCCTGTTTGCCACACAACCAGGGGTTATGAAGGTGTTCTCAGGGAACACAGGCTGGGAGGCACCATCCTTGCAGCCCTGGCCTTGCTTCAGCTCTCTGGTACCTCCTAGGAAGGAGCTTATACATTGGCTAGAACCCTGAGTTTTGCAACCTCCATCCAAAGGACACCTTTGGATCTTCTGGCCTGGAGGCCAGCAGAGGTTATGATTATGGTCCCACAGGACTGTATCTATTTGCATACTTTAAAAGCTGCTGCCTATGGGTCTGGCTTCCAATCAGCCTGAAACTAGGTTCTAACAGATCCTTCCCTTTGGAACATCAACAGGTCTTGACACACCAATGGAACCCTATCAAGAATAAATCAGGTTGCTTGGGCAATCACAAAAGTTGGAAAGATAACCAAGACCTAGGGCAAGGTTAAGTGACAAGGTTCATCACCCACACAAGGCCACTCCTTTAAGATGGGGAGAGGCTGCTGTTTAGAAACATATAGAAATGAACACAGAGTGGGATGCCTGGGTGGCTCAGTTGGTTAAGTGTCTGCCTTTGGTTCAGGTCATGATCCCAGGATCCTGGGATCAAGTCCTGCACTGGGCTCCTTGCTCAGCAGGGAGCCTGCTTCTCCCTCTGCATGCCACTTCCCCTGCTTATGCTCTCTCTCTCTGACAAATAAATAAAATCTTAAAAAAAAAAAAAAAGAAATGAACACAGAGAGTCAAGAAAACGAAGACATAGAGAAATATGTTCCAAATAAAAGAACAAGGTAAAAAGCTCAGAAAAATACCTTAATTTCACAGAGATAAGTAATCTGCCTGATAAAGAATTCAAAGCCATGGTCATAAAGATGCTGACCAGACTCAGGGGAAGACCAGATGAACACAGTGAGAACTTCAACAAAGAGATGGAAAACATCAGCAAGTGCCAAACATTAGTCACAGAGCTGAAGCACACACTGGAGGGTTCCCCGGCAGACCAGATGAAGCAGAAGAACAGATCAGCAATCTGGAAGGCAGGGCAGTGGAGCTCACCCAAACAGAGCAGCCAAAAAAGGAAAAAAGAAGTAAAAAAGAAAAATGAAGACAGCCTAACAGACCTACGGGACAACATCAAATGGAATAACAATTCACATTACATGGGCCAGAAGGAGAAGAGAGAGAGAAAGGAGCAGAAAATTATTTGAAGAAATAATGGCTGAAAGTTCCCCAATGTGGGGAGAGAAACAGACATCCAGGTCCAGGAAGCCCAGAGAATTCCAAATAAGATGAACCCAAAGAGATCACATCAAGCACATCCTAATTAAATGTCAAAAGTTAAAGATAAAAAGAGACTCTTAAAAGCAACAAGAGAAAAACAACTTGGGACGTGCAAGGAACCCCCAGAAGACAACTGGCAGATTTTTCATCAGAAATTTGCAGCCAGAAGGGGTTGTGGGATGATAAATCCAATCCAAAGTGCTGAAAGGAATAAAGCTTCCAACCAAGAATACCCTACCCGGCAAGGTTATCATTCAAAATTGAAGTACAGATAAAGAGGATGGTAACAAGATCTACTGTGGCGATCACCTTGCAATGTATACAAATATCAAGTCATTATGCCATACATCTGAAATCAATATAATGTCACGGGTCAATTATACCTCAACAAAATATTTTGTAAAAAATAAATAACGCAGGGTGCCTGAGTGGCTCAGTCAGTTAAGCATCTGACTCCTGATTTCAACTCAGGTTATGATCGCACTCCTGGGATTGAGCCCCACATGGGGCTTCACACTCAGCAGAGAGTCTGCTTGAGATTCTCTCTCTTCCTCTCCCACTGCCCAGTCATGCTCTCTAACTAAATAAGTAAGCCAATAAAATCTTTAAAAACAAATACAGAACACTACACAGGATCACTCTAATATTCCATGTGTTAAAATTCACTTGACTTTCTCTGAAAGAGATAAATTAAGCTCTAAGGAAACAGGCACCTAGTTATGAAATCCAAATGCATCTTAACTCCTGGGTTAACCCATCCTTAGCCATTATAAACAAACACTTGTAAATTAAAGGGAAAAAAGAACCTTTTTATATAATAAAATTGATTTTTGAATGACTCTAACTTCCGAGTCTAGAAAGGTAGCTTCATATGAAGCCCTCTGTAAACATGCACCAGTTGAACTTGAGCAGCAACAGTGCTTTGTCAGCAGCTCGTCTGGGGCCGAGTCTGTGGGGGGCGTGAAGGCCCCAGCCATCTCACCTGTCCTCAAAGCACACGGTGCACTTCCAGGCATCGGTCTTCCTCAGGAACACTCGGCACTCCGAGCACACGCGGTGGCTGCAGCCCTTGCACACGGCCCCCCGGTTCAGCAGAAGCCCCAGCTCACGCTGACAGCGTGCACACGACTTCTCTTTGTACTCCGGGCTCACGCTCTTTGCTCCTTTCCACCGGAGATGCTGCAAGTGTGTCTTCAGTTTCCTGCGGCCCAAAGAGTCAAATGGTAAGTTATGACTGAAAGAAAGGACAGACGCCAGACGTACCCCTACATGGTGAGGGCCCCAACAGCACCACCCCCGGCAAGAGAAGAAACGAGGGGCTTTGGCATCCAACACACCCGGGTAACAACATGGCCGTGTGAACTAGGCATCTCACTCAATCTCTCCAGAAAGAGGCTCAGAGCTTTTCTCCACAGTGAAACGGAGATGAGAAAGAGCTCACCTCCCACAGATGCTGGGAGGATTCAATGGCAAAGCCTAAAAAGTGGCCGGCACAGAGGAGTTAGTCTCTAGTTTGGTTCTAGGCTCATCCCTCCATGCCCAAAGGACATCATCATGGTTAGCAAGGACAGAGAGAGAACAAAACAAAACACACACATGCACACAGAGAAAATGGCATCAATTTTAATATAGAAGGCATGGAAAGATCTATAAAGATATACATGCCTGCTATTGTCATTAAGTTATCCAATAAAATTATTTAACTGATGTTATGCTTTTGCTACTGTTTTTTTAAAAAGACTTTACTTATTTGACAGAAAGAGAGATAGTGAGAGCAGGAACACAAGCAGCGGGGAGTGGGAGAGGGAGAAGCAGTCTCCCTGGCTGAGCAGGGAGCCCGGTGCTGGGCTCAATCCCAGGATCCTGGGATCATGATCTGAGCCGAAGGCAGACGCTTAACAACTGAGCCACCCAGGTGTCCCAGCTACTGTTTTGTTTTTTGTTTTTTAATGGGTGGTCAGTTCACTTCTAGTCCTTATTTCCCCGAGATAATAGCCCAAGTGTGCTAAGGGACCTTACACTGGACCCCAAAGAGGTGTTATTAACCAGAACACTCTTGTATGAAATGTCTCTGCTAGATACTTTTAGAAGAGAGAAGCCAATCCCAAAAAACAAGTGTAGTTCATTCAATTTGCAGAAATTGCAGGATTGGCTCTACAGTCTGTACCCTCCGGAACAAAACTTCCTGACCACAGCATCCGAGTTACTTTGCTGATATTCAAAACAATGTTTCTAAATCACCAAAAGGCCTCTAATCATCAGAGACAATTCCATTTTGTTCAGTGTTTTTTATTTTTTAGTGGAAGAAAGTACAAGTACATTTAGGGAGCTTTGGGATAACAGGGAAGGACAGAAAAAAGACACCGTATCTTCCAGTTACCCCGCAAATTTCTCTCATTCCTCAAGCATTGGGTTGCCCCGAATTTTATTTATTTATATGTGTGTTTTTCTTGGCAGACTCTGAAAGAGTTCCGCCGTTAAAAACAAAACAAAATCAAAAGCCTATTCCACGTACTTATTTTCCAGTCTTTGCGTCCTTTACAGACATTGAGAAACAAGGCATCGCCGTTTGTAAGGGTGGATCTGGACCGCTACCAATCGGCAGTTTTGATACTAGCCCTGCTAGTATAATATGATATACTGATAATAGCCCTGCTTTATTAAGTGTTAACTCATACCAAACAGTGCGTGCAGCTTCCAGACAGACAAGGAAAGGAACTTCCTATTGACAGATCAGTCAGGGAACAGGCTGAGCAGGTTCATATTTTATACTCCCCCTCCCCTCAAAGCCAACTTGGAAGCAAAAGCACACTAAGAAAAAGACAGGAATGGATTGCAGCAGACCTGCTGTTTCTATGCTGCTTTCTCGGCTTTTTTGTGTGCCTTCGGAGACCCCCACCAACAATTTAGGCAAATCTTCGCTGGAGGTCTTTCCCTTGAGGGGTATAGTAGAAGCCTGCAAACCTTCCTTTGAATTAGTCCCACGAAGTAGCAAAGGGACAAGCAGCACACAATACACCTAGCACAAAAAGGCACTATTCTAAGTCAATGACAAAAGCAGCCTCCCTTTGCCCTTACAGTGGGGAGCTCAGTTAGAGGGCAGGGCTACCTGGCCTCTACCCCTCACGGGGCCACTTGCAGAGGGGACGCCCGAACCCCCCGTGGCCAGCAAGCAGGTGGCAGCAGGCTGCAAGCAGGAAAACCCAGGGACTTGCACGCATGTGGAGGACAGCCTACCGGATCCTTTCCTCCTCGATGTTTTGAACCGCCTGGTCTCGGTACAGAACCTGGAGGATGACCTCGCGTTCCAACTCCTGGAGGGAATTCAGATTGATGTCCCGGGCCATTCCTTCTCTCGTGCAGAGACCTGAGCCGAGTGTCACTCCATGGCCGAGTACCCCTGTGCTGTGGGTGAGCTCAGAGCGCCCAGGAGCAGCCCCAAGTGCTTGAAAGTGCTCCTTCTCCTATTTATTGGCAACTGTTTGGCTTGTGACTCTTTTTTTTTTTTTTTTGTCCTTTTTAACTGTGTCACACTCCTCAGGAGAAGAAAGCTCCAAGAGACTGCCCCTCAGCTGGACTCGTGGCTCCCCGAGCCTCATGCCAACCCGGGGAGCCTTTCCACGGAGCCTTACTGCTGCCTCTGATGTCCGTCTAACCCCAAAGCATATCTGTTTTCTGAGGTTTTGCCAGAGATTGTTATAAATCAGACATGGCTCCAAGCCGATAATTTCTGCAAAGCAGAAGTGAGCCCCAATCGGCGGGAACTTAGAAACGGCAGCAGAAGCGTATGGAGGACATTCAGATGCTAACCTTCCCCTCCAATGCCTTCAGGTCAGCAGTTATGGTCATTAAAAGCCCAGCCAGTTGAAAGCCTGTAGAAAGGAACAACAAAATGACCTCATTTTCCTGGCTTGTGCATGTCTGCGGCATCACTTCTGGACACACAAAATGTTCCACACAGACCTTTGCACCTTCTGCCATCATGATAATGTAAGATTTTAAATTTTATTAAAATTGGCCTTCTCGTGTTTCTAAAAGCCACACTTCTGAACTTGAATTATTCTTGAATTATTCGTATCTCCAGTGACCAGAGAAGCAAAAAGGTCCATGTTTAACGGTTATCATCCTAATGGAAAATACATTAGAAGACTCAATGTGCCCAACACTTAGCTCTTATTTTTACAATTAACTTCAAAACTCAAAAAAAGTAGGAATATCCCACAACCTCTATCTATCAATTATTTATGGTTTTTAATGGTTTTCAAGGATGTCACATGCATGGGGTCTTGTTTCTGTCTAATGCTGGTTGAAAGGTTCTGCATACGTTCCCCCTGCTTTTTTTTTCCCCATTGGAGACACTGGGCTCACATGACCTTCAATTTGTTCCTCCCCCACCCCAACCAAGAAGATGGTGTTGAATTGATAAAACACACTGGCTAGATGCATATCATTGAAAAGCAGAAAGTGTAGATCAAAGCAATATACTTTCTGTAATGCCATTTTTTAATCAAATCTACATGAATTCCTTAGTAATAAGACTTCCTTTCAATGCTTTAGAAGCTAAACTTTTGTTGGGCTTCAATAGAAATCCACATTATATTAATTTATGATCATAACAAATCATTGAATAAGGGGTTAATAGAGCCCTAAGGGATCATCTTCTCTAAGAAAAGAAAGGGTTAAGAATCTCTGCTTGATCTTTGGTAGTCTGGTGAAGCCTGTGTATTTAATGCATAAAATAAAATACACTGAATTACAAAGGAAATCATTTATACTGAAATGTTTTACTATAATAATATCTATGTTCACTGATGCATGAAATAATGAGATCTAGCAGTGATCTAACAACTACTATAATATCAAAATAATGATGATTATAAGTAATATTTTGAGATATCTACAACATACATCGTGGTATGAAAATATGTGTGATTTCTATTAGTGACAGTTACCAGTCCTGCTAGTTCTACTCTGGTTTGATGCCTGCATTCATAATGGAAAGAAATGCTAATTTTTAGTTAGAGGTAGATAAATAAAGAAGTAATCTTTTTCCAATCCAAGTTCATGGCCCTATAGGCTAAGGACTCATGGCTTAAGGGATTCTAGATTTGTCAGTTGCTCTATTGTGGGACAAAGTTAAAATGCACAGCTCGCCCAAATGCACAGGTTGCATGAAGAGTAGGAAGTCGCAGAGCTCTGAAAGGGGCACTCTTGGCCTCTCGTCTTCAGGGAAGTACTCACCAGTGCCTGTCTTCAAAAGGCTTCCTATCCAGAAGATGGAAAAATGACCAAGCAGCAAGGACTCTGGGCTCTAGCCCAGGCTGGCTGGTAATCACTGTTATGACCAGTGCAAAGCCTCAATCCTCCTTGGTCCCCAGTTTCTGGATGAACAGATGGAACTTGCAGATCTTAGTTCCCCGAAGCTCTGAGTCTCTGGAAAACAGGAAAGCAATATGCAATAACGTATCATCAAGTAACAAGTGGTAAGGTGCAAATTGGCCAATATGTCGCCAACTTTATGAACCTATTTCTTCTAAACTTGCCCCTTGGCTCTTCCTCCTTCTTATTTACCACTGGGCCAAGAACTATACAGTTGCCCCAATTCTCAAGTATTTTCAATGAAGATTTTTGCATTTGGCTCAAAACACTTGATTTGTGTGCACCGAGCTTTCTTTTCACGGGGTTTCTGTGCTCCACCCTCTGGCTCTGGTCATGTGCTACAGGGGTGGAAATGACATTAACAAGGGGACTCATTGGGGGAATCCTGGCACACGCAAATGTTTACTCATCCAAGTGGTTGGGTTTTACAGAAATACAGGATTCAGTTATCATGTAAAAACACTCCTCATACTCTATCAAATTCATGGCTATGGGCCTCCAGTGGGAAGGGTCCTTTTCATGGATGAGAGGGAGCTCATCCTCCCCCCAGTGGCCATTCACTCCTACTTACGGAAAAGTAAAATTTGGGTTGTTTCTCGGATCCATCCATCCATTCAGTAAATATTTACTGAGCACCTTCCAAGTGCCACACACTGTTCAAGTGCTTAGAGCACATGACTTGATTGACTGGTGATTTACACTCTATCCCATGTGTAAGAAGACTATGATGTTGCTTACAATAAAAGCACAGAGAGGACAATTAAAGTCAGAGAGACATCAGCAGTCAGAGTGGAAAGGGGAGATCATTCTACCAGAAATCTGCAGTGAGACAGTCACCGTGCTTGAGTATTAGATGTATTTCTGACCTTCCTAGTAGCCAAGGCAAAACCAAACAAAATGAAACAAAACAAAACAAAACAAAAATCAAGGTGATGTATATCATTCTGATAAACTGAAGGAAGATGAGAAGGACCTCCTTCTCATAGGTATAAAGGGCATAGACTGAGAAAACAATCAATTATTTGAGCCATGGTTCAGCAGAAGAAGCAAAATTATGCTTGAGGGATCATTATTATATTGATCTTAAAGCTAAGAAGCTAGAACCAAATCATAATTCACTGAAAGCATTTCAAATAGAGATCAAAACATGGTGCTTCCTGATATTCCAAGGTGATGTTGGCATAAAGCTTAGAAAACCAGAGGATCAGTGTTTGGTATCCATCCCCCTGTGTTTTTTATTCTTGACTTTCAGATATTTGATCCTAGCTTCTGTAAACCTTCAGCCATTCAAGCACTTGGTTAATATTTACTACCAGTAAAGCCTTCTATCATTAGATGGAAATGTACTTTTTCCTTTAACTTGAAGGATCTGCCTCTAGATCCTCTCTAAACAAGGGGTGACTTTTTAAAATGATGCCATTGGTACTGCAGGGAGCATCACGCTAGGGTCATAAATTGGTTCTGTTCATCGGGCATCACCACAGGATCTTTCACAGCAAGATTTCACAGAAACTGAGGAAGACGTTTTCTCTTTGGTGTCCAGGGACCTCCTAGTGTCCCACCTGGCTTGGTGGCTTCGATATTCCATTTACCACATTTGAGCCACGATTGCTTCATCTCATTGGGACTCGCCCAGGATTTTCATGGGGGCAGTACCACACTTACATCTTTAGAAATTTGTGGGGCACTTCTGGTTGTCACAGTGACAAAAAATTGTCTTGCATCCCCATGCAAATGTTGACTACCTTACCAGATAATTCGATTAGAAAAAAAATTATAATTATCTGATAAAATGTAACTCTTATATGAACACAAAGTGTATTTTGCAGGATTTTAATATACTCTGAGTTTTCCAGGATGCAACTATTGTGTAGATTGAAGGAAAACTGAACTTTGTTTCACTTAGAACTTTAACAAGAATTGTTTATCATTGCAGAAAGTTGCATTACCAAAGGCAACATTGATTGTAGTATCTGAAAGACTCCTGCCCTTTGCTGGTAACAATCTGCATTTGTAAATGTCATATTCAACATGACTCTATTTACATAAACATCTGACAACTTCACTGGGTCTTCTAATGTAGTTTACATGTCCAGGTTCACATTATATGGTAATTATAAATATATATACAGTCCTCTTATTTCTCCTTTTTTTTTTTTTTTAAAGATTTTATTTATTTATTTCAGAGAGAATGAGAGAGAGCACATGAGAGGGGGGAGGGGCAGAGGGAGAAGCAGGCTCCCTGCCGAGCAGGGAGCCCGATGCGGGACTCGATCCTGGGACTCCAGGATCATGACCTGAGCCGAAGGCAGTCGCTTAACCAACTGAGCCACCCAGGCGCCCTTATTTCTCCTTTTTATCATGATAATTGCATTGTAGTAGACGTAGTGTGTAGGTAGGTTACAGTATACATGAATTCTGGTTCTGGATAGTAAAAGGTGAACTACAATATATTTCCTATAATGAGTGAGCATGGAGTTTCATAGTTTTAAGGGGAGCTCAGTTGGTTAAGCGTCTGACTCTTGATCTCAGGGCTGTGAGTTAAGCCCCACATTGGGCTCCACGCTGGGCATGGAGCCTACCTAAAAAAAAAAAGTTTCATAGTTTTAAGAACCACTGAATTAGAAGACCCAATCATTTCTAAGGTCACTTACAAATTAAGTTATATAATTCTCTTGTTCATGTTTCAACACATTATTGGGTTTGTAGAAGAATGGGGTTTGGGAAAGAGAGAATGGTTGGTTCTCATTGGTTGTTTGGTGTTTTGTGTTTGGGAGCTTCAGTTTATGAATTTGCATATGCAATTTTGGATCTGATCTCCAGGTTGTAGTTGAGAGCTCAGAGTTCTTGCAACGCAAAATCTTTGAATTATTTTAGCTGCATTTTTTTCAATCCTCTTCAATCGAAGTTCTGGGGCTCTTTCTGCACTTCATCCCAGTGAGGCTGGCATTTGAATTCTTAGAAGTTTTGTATCAACTGCCAGCTTGGACAGTCTACTGTGTGATCCATCTTGAAAATCACTCAAAAACGCTTCACTGAAACTGTTCTTAGTTCATCATCTACTTATCCAAGACAAAGTGCCCCCAGACCCCTGGCAACAATTTACTTATTTTTAATTTTTTAAAGTTTTGTTGTTGTTTTTTAGTGAACTTCCTAGCCAATAGAGGTTTCTAGGGTGGCAGATGGAGTCAGTGGGCAGCACAGGTCCATGGTGAACACCAAGAAAATCAGAATTTCAACCACTTCCTGGCATTCTCGGGGTACGTACACCTTTACAAATTCCATTCCTAGTCACCTGTAGTAGAAACCATGTTGGAATATTTGTCGTATTCTTTGAAACACGGGTAAAACAAATACACTTCTTGCGTGGATGTTTTGATTGATGTGATGTTTTGAAGTAGAACATGGAGGTAGTAAAAGAATGACATGAAATCTATGAAAATCGGTTGTGTGTTCCTCGCGCTGTGTTA